AACGACAGTTACCCATTGGAATTGCACGTTGGACCGTGAATCAGTGGCCTTGTGTCAATAGAAAAAAAGTTTGTCAAGAACTGCAGATAATTTCTATCCTTAAGTCAACATGGGTCTATACTTTGAATTAAATTAAGTACTCAAGTTTTTTTGGTCGAAAATCCAGACTTGAAAGAAGCTTAATCTGGCTGGAAGCAGCGGGTTTTTGTTATACCCGACTTGAGGGCACAATGTATTGTGCCATCAAGCGGGTCGTTTGGTTGCAAACTCGATGCGTCAAAGTGTGTGGATATCATCATTAGTCGAGAGGTCGTGACCTCTTCAGAACCGCCAATTCTATCTGCGAATTAACTCCCGCCAAACAACCGAGCCACGTCACCCATTATTATTATCACACCTGTACCCGAGGACGAAATATGTAGCAGATCATCGCATGAAAACAGGTTCTCTGCGTAATAACCCATGATTGTCTCGTCCCCGCAGCCTGTGGTTGTCCACAAAAGTGCAATCAGTGTAATTGCTAAGATACAGCGGTCTACTGATCACGGGCGCCGGGCTGACTACTTTCCTTGATCGTAACCATCAACTTAATGACCAGAGGGTCCGTCCATTTGTGATTACGACTACACCTGCGGCATAACGTATGGACCAAAGGATTAGCTAAAATCCAACAAAATCCTGACAAGAAAAAGCAACTGTTTTTCGACCGTAACATTAACTACGTGTGGTTAAATCCGAGTGAGAAATTGTCTGTTCAGCATGATTCATTCTGTCTCTGAATTTAGCCAATCGGGGTTCAGACTGCAGAGGACATCATAATTAGGCCTAAATCAAATTGATATTTACCTTCTGTAATTGCAAATAAGTACTTGCCATGCTTTCTAGAATAAAATAGTTCAAAGCATATTCGCATAACAGACGTTTCTACTGAAGACGGGGAAACGGAACGTTTTCTGCACTAATCAACATACGCCGTTCCTTCTTTTCAAACAAACTCAGCATGCAAACAAGTGCTGATACAACGAAAGTTGTTTTCACAGAACCGGGGACAATTTTCTTTTCGTTTTCTTACACAAGAACGCATGTGACGTAAATAAAAGATAACAACAATAACACACGAGTGCACAGGCTCACATTAACATACTGTGCAGATCTATGCCAATAAAGATAAGAGTTTACAAAGTTTGGTTATTAAAATTGACGGCGACTCACTCGTGAAGCTTCAGTCAACGACCGCTGGTGAATTAGAGGTAAATAACTATCAGATGAATGTAAGGGATTAGTCAGTTCTTACACACAAGCTGCACGCCAATGAAGCAGCAAAATAGCACCGGGTAATCATGATTCAGGCTTACGTTCAAGTAGGCAAACCACTGAAACTATCATCTCCTGTGCCGGAAATTGTCGAGAAAAGTGACAACTGCGAATATGTACGCGGGGAGACTGGTTCGTGCTTTCGGCGAAGGGAAATATTATTTTTCAGTCTTTCTGAAAAAGCAGCCCGGGCACTGTAGCTCAAAAGCCTGAAGGGAACCGTAGAGAGTTTTAGAGGTGGGAAGAAAACCCTAGAGGAATATTCAGGGTGAAACCCATGGAATAAGGTGTTGGGACTGAAAATCTAATCCACCTGTGGACCGAGCTGGGAATCGATCCCAGACCATAGAGGTAGAAAGCGATGAAACATTCACAATGCCAAGTCACCAAAACGCCGTTTGAGTTGAAGTATGTTTTGCACAATGGCAGCGCGAAAATATTATCGAAAGTCACAGCATCGGGTTCGTTTTCGCTTTCATGCCAATTAAGTTACAAGTATGAACTGGCCTTAATAAAAAAAACAGAGATCGGAAAATTTAGTCATACATCCATGAAAAATATACCGGTAATTAAATACGGTGCGTTCAAAAGTCTTCAATACCTTTGTCCCTCTAGAGCAGGAAATGAACAGTTCATTTAACGTAGTCCTGTTGGCACGCTGTAATGATTTTTGCCCGTGCGGCAGTGTTTTTTCCCTCAAGTTAATAATGCAAACACGCCCAGATACACCTGCGTTCAACATGAAGCTGGCTTAGCACTAACATTGATATAATAATATTGAAAAATATAGTACTCAAAAAAGTTCAGGACTTTTATTTTGTGCTTCCCTTTTCATATGAGATATTTTACTGCTGAAATGCCCAATATCTGTCCTGAATGACCTCAAACACTCTGTAATCAATTTCACATGTGGTTGGTTTCAGTTGTTGCATAATGTCTCTTGCGTGCATCTCTTGAAAAAAAAAATACAAGTTAAGAAGAAGTGGTCCTTAACTTTCTTTGAGTAGTGTATTTAGTTAGCGATTTTGTTCCTCAGAGTCTAACCAACAAAGGTCTGAAATTATCATTTTCCACTATGGAAGATTTCGCCTTTCTTTTTCCATCTTTGTACGACATCATTACAATAATCTTTTGAACCTGTTTGGGAGTCATTAAGTTACAGAATGAACTACATGTATTGTGTTCTAGTAGTTTGAAGAAATTAAGTGAGGTGGATTAATAGTTGTGATAGTACAGCAAACACAAAACACCAAGTGCAAGATCAAAATGAAAATCACAGGTGTGCGTTATGCATTTGTCTTTGGGCGTTGTTGTCCCCGATGATCTGTCGTTGAGACGGGGGATAAATTAAGATAATTAAGGTACAACCTTGGGCAGGCCAGAGACCGATTTTTTAAAGCTAGGCTTTGTTTCTGGTTATACATGTCTAGACGAGGAATCCTTTACAGGTATTCGATTGTCGGACCGAACGAAAATGTCCGAAAGGTGTCGGCCTTTCATGCACGCATGCGGCGAGATTTACCCATGGCAACGGCTAAAAATAGATTCTCATGGAGTCAGCAGCGAATCAAAACAAAGGGCACGAAACCATTCAGGATTGAACAACAGCAATGAAAAACGACGCAATTTATAGCACATAAAGATTTTCTCTCACAACGTTCTCGGTACATGCGTCGACACACGGTAGTGTCGGAGTTTGTCGACGAGGTCTAGCCGAAGCTCTGAGTGCTCGGGACGCCCAGGCTAAGCGGTTGGTTCTCGTTGGTGCCGTGTCCGGCCTTGAGCCCAGTCAACCAATATGTCTCCATTATCCCTTTACCCTGTGGAGAAACAAATCCATCAAACTTGGGAGATGCATGTACAGCGTCGAGACAATAAACCAAAATCGACATGCAACCAGCGAAACCCTATCTTGGCGAAAAGGCCAGGTCATTCGAGAATAACGCACGCGTGCGAGACGGCCTGTGGCCGCACTGATAGGGCAGACCTTGCGCGTGCGCGTTTCTGTTCCCGAATGACCTTGCACGTGTCCAACCCAAGAAATGGCTGTACCTTTATATCGACGACACCGCGGGTTTGTACCGTGAAACCACCAAGGACCGTCAGAATCTTGTGGCACTCAGCACTCACGTGAATCTTCATCGCTGTAATGTGTATCGTGGAGTGGTAGAACGTGTTAGTAATGAGTGAAATTACAGAATACTGGTGCAACGGTAAATTGGTGGTTCTTTGTGACGCCCGAAGTGTGACGTCATTTTGAACTAGGAAATGCTCCGCAAACGAATGGAGTATACATGGGCGTGTTGATTCACGCGCTGGTTCTCTGGCTAATTGCCCGTTATACATATTACAAGTGCGTGTTACGTATTCACTTCGGTACTCTATGGGGTTAAGTTATTAGTGATGGTCAGAATATTAATGGTTGGGATTTCTAATGCTGGGACTAAGGTCAGTGCTCTGGGGCAAGGCTTGATCATGGTTTTGTGTAAGGTTTCAAAGTCCCAAGGGGCGTAAGTCTGGGATTATGGTGGATATAACCCAGCCCCCCGAGTTTTAACCGGGAGTGTGCCATTCGATGTTTCCCGCTTTGTAGTAAAAAGGAACCTAAATGGATTTGGGACTTACTTCCGATTTTTCCCGCAACGCAAATTAATTATGTGGCACTTTAACACTGACTGCACACTGTTTAAAGTGACTGTCTTTTTAAGTGCCGGCAATATGAGGAATTTTACTTGTAACGTTATTTTGCGCGACATTCTACTCCTAAAGAGATGAACCTATTTGACAGGCCCTTTGGGAAGCTTGTTTTCGTATGTTCACGAACAGCTCATTTTGTTGTTCGTGGGTCGACCGCTCGAACGCCGGGAAGGTACAACTGGTTATCGCAGGTAGTGGCAAGTAACATGGCGGCGTCCATGTACGTCCTTCCAGGGTTAAGTTCTGGATAACTGACCTATTGGTGTTTCTATTTAAAACCAACATTAATTTCTGTGTTTTGGAAAATAATTTGTTAATTTTGCAAAACTTCCCATATTTCTGACTTTGTAGGTCATTTTACTTTTTTTTTGGGCGGCTGTTCAAAAATAAAAAATTCACGAGCTTTTCTGTGTGTTCCTGTAAACCCTGACGAGGAGGTTGTGCATGATCCTGTTCCGGGAACAGTGTTCTTAAGTCGTGTTCCCGCCGTTCGAGCGCGAGAACAAGAAACCCGTGTCAAGAACAGGCCGCCCGAACTCGACCTCCGAGTATTCCTCTCTACAAAGTAAAGCGCAGCTTGTGAAAAATCTAAAAATGTCTGGGCTTTTCCTGGCAATTGAAGGCGCTTTTGCTGCGATGTCATATCGGAAGGGCGCTGTTCATTTCAGCGGCTTATTAATAACGTGTTTAACCCTAAGTCAGGGATGAATTTCACTGGAAAAAAACCAACGAACAAGAGACAAACACTTCAGACATCAAAATTACCAGAAATTCTTGCAAACTGTGGTACTGAAATGGATGTAGCATTTTTTCTCGGAACACCAGACTTCTGTTCAAGGATATGCCGATTTCCAAAATCGAAAAACCAAAAAGACACTAATTCAAAATGCCCTTAATATTGTACAGCGAGGCAAAAGGCTTCAGTCGCGTTATTCTACACACAAAACCCAAATCAACCACAGCATACGACCAAAAGTATAAGAACTTACGTTCACCATGCGACTCCATTCTTGAAGCGGTGTTGACGGTGTCCCCAAACAGACAATACCTCGGCATTTTTGAGCCCACCACTCCAGCGACACATGGTCCTGGTTTAGCAAAGGAACAAAGGGTCAAAACGTCACACCCCACGGTGACAGGCCTTCTTAATTAAACGACAAAATTGGAAAAAAGGAAGCTGCGTCTCGATGCTATGTCTAGGGCTAGGTCTAAGCCCTCACCAGTTGCAAATACATGGGCTAACATGGGCAAAAGACGCAGCCGTAGGCCTATCCCTAAAGCCCGCTTTTGCCTTTAATAGGACATTGGCCGAGGTTTACTGGTATGTCATCTCGTACATGAATCCGAGGGGACTACAGTTCAATCACCAAAAGCTTGTTTTTAATAACAATGCACAATGCAGTCACACTTGAATCGCCCTAATAATCCTTTTGCGAGTTAACTTCGACCCAAATCTGGTACACTGAGTTCTTTAAATTCACGTGAACATAACAACTTGAATTCTCCATACTACAACCACTGTTGCTATACCTCGTGATTCGGGGCAAGCTTTTGCTTAGTTACATAAGAGACGCCTTGCAACAATACACTGTTCTCAATGGATAAAAAGGGCACAAAGGAACCACTCCATTCCAGAGATGCTGGTCGCTATGCAAAAGCTTGCCCCGAATCACGAGGACATATGAGCAAGGTATGAGACGGAGAGAACCCCCCCCCCCGCTTTGTGTTGGTCATTGTCTCGCAGGAATCTGGGGAATTCCTTTCAAAACTCTTGGGGGACGTGTTAAGTACCAATAGTCTGGAATGTGTATAGGGATTGGACATGTTGGGGGGGTACCCCTCGGTCTCATTTCTTGTTGGGTATACACGAGGTATAGCAAGTGTCTTTCGTCTGAGGAATTCAAATCGTCGTGATTATGTGCAATCAGATAACTCGGTGTACCAGATTTTATTCATAAATTTAACTCGCAAATGCTTACTGAACTACTCTGTAAAATGTCAGCGTCACTCACATTGAGCAGTTTGATGCAACCCTCGCGGCGTAAATGGTCAGTGACATCTCGTACAATTGTTTTCATGTGAATGGTTCCCACTGATTGGCGTGCGACCACGCCCCTGCCTGGGCCTGGTTCTTAATGGTTGACTGGATGGTCCAAACCATGCATTGCTCATGTGACGTTGGCCTATATTAAACTAGCACCGTTGCTTGCACTTTGTCCAAACCTTACCGGTGTGGAGTCCGACTCGCAGCCTGAGTCGGTCAGACGGCAGGTGCGGGATCCTGAACTCAGCTGCCCGGTCCATCAGGTCCAGAGCCAAGCTGGCCACCTCGCCGGCGTGGCGGTTGCCGTTGCGCATGGGCAGGCCGCTGACGACCATGTAGGCGTCGCCGATGGTCTCAACCTTGTACACGTCGTACGTCTCGATGCGCTCATCGAAGAGTTGGTAGAGAGAGTTGAGGAAAACCACCACCTATGTACAGGGAAAAGTGGTGACCTGCGTAAGATACCCCGTACAGCTGACTCGAGAATTTGGATAGGCACAGGAAAATTTGCTTAGCACGAAAACGTTTACCAGCCAAAATGCCATGCCAATATCTCCTATGACTGGTGCCCGTTTGATATCTGCTTAACACGTATAATAATTAAAGACTGATGCCTGTTTATTGATTTTCACAATTATTAAGTGTCATACCAACTGCAAACAATGTGTCGTGTCGTTAGAACCAACCTGCATGGGCGTACTCTTAGCTGATATCTCGGTGAAGTCGACGATGTCACTGAAGAAAATACTGACCCGCTCAAAGGACTCAGCATTGACGTCCTCCCCGCTCCTCAGTTGCTTGGCAACGGGACGCGGCAGCATCCGATAAAGCAAGGAATCGCTCCGTTTTTTCTCCGTGTTTAGCTCCACCGTCTTTTCCGTCAATTCTTCACGAAAAAAGAACACATCAAAAGCAATTCCCCAAAAACGTACCGCCCGAATTTGTTCAGCTCCTTGGTTCTAACGTACCATAGTTATCTTTTGAGCGTTGCAACGGGTAATTTGTTTTTCTTTTCTTGAAAAAAGAACTATGGGCTGTACATGAATGAAACTGTGCTCTTGAACAATTCTATTTTTTTAACACTTAAGGGCTTCTTGTTGTCTGCGTACAAGACTTTTGAATTTTCAGACTGACTGCCACTTGAGCAACTTTACGTAACGCTGTTATTTAAAAAAAAACTCTCTTCGATTGGCAGAGTGACAGTTTACAATCCATTTGGATTTAACATGTGCGCACATTCTCCATTATTGTCAATGGGTGTGGTTATAATCACCTTGTCGTATGGAAGGTAACAATAATTTCAATACGGGCGATTCACAACAGTGCGCTTCAACAAGTTTGCGACACGTGGGCCAATCACAACGCGCGAAATCTGTCGACCCTTTCCAAACGCAATGTGATTGGCCAACGCGTTGCAAACTCTTGGAGGCACACTACAGTGAAACACCCGTTTTTTTACTTGATGCGTAGGTCTGTATTGATTTAGTCGACTTGGACACCATCACAAGAATGACGGGCACCACCAGACAGACCACACCAAAGAGCGCAGCTGCAACAGCAATCTAGACAAGAAGAAAGTGAAGAATCTTGAATATTTACGTCTCTTCTCTCTGCAGGACATCCATGTAATAGGTGTACATTTCTTTCCCACTGCAGCTTTCAAAAATTGTTGCAATTTTTCCCGCAGTTTCATTTCCTTAAACCTCGGCACTGTTTGGGCCCACATGATCGTCATTAAGAAACAACCTGTTTTACCTCCTCGTTTTTGGCGACGATTTCGAGGCTAATGCGATCGCTGACCATGCTTTCCAAGTACAGTCCAACATTCCTCATCACCTTCAACTGGCCCGTGGTGTTCCCCAGCCAGTGGGTGGCTCTTTGCAGGGAAGCATTCTCACTCGTTGCTGGCAAGAAAGTTAAAAAAAGAGGAAATATATACAGGCCGTGTAAACAAAATGGCTGTTTATCTACCAGCATAGGTAAATTAACAGAAATTAGACGAAAGGGGGTGAATATCATCTCTTTGCTTTTAAAAAAGTTGACCACTTTCCACCGTTAATTGGTTTATCAGCTCGTTGCTGATGAGTGCTTTATCCCACCCCCATTAAAATGCCCCCCCCCCGGAAAATCCTGGTGACACCCATGCTACGACTAGTTCAACAATCGTAAAATACACTTAGGAGGAATACGCCAGAAACCAGAAGGTACATAACTTGAGTTTTGCGTGGAGGTTTTTCGAGGCTTGACAATGGTGTCGTGAGGTACCTCTGGGAAAACCTCGAGCGAGCTACCCTCGTTTTAGTCGTCGTTCCTCCCTTAAAGGTCCACGGCTCGTAGGGTCAAAAAATGGAAATGTACCTGTTGTGTGATTGCTGTAAATTTCGTCCTTCATGATCTCGATTTTGCTCAGCTGTATGTTTCTTGCTTCCAAGCCTTCGTCGTATACATCTCTCGTTGAAGGTACGTAGTTCAGGCACGTGTTCAAGTGGATGACGCTCAATTCCCTGTTGCGGACAAACGACAGGTAGTTTACACTCTGTAACCCGCCGAGAAGGTAGAACTCAGCCCCGTAGGCGGACATGGCCCCCGTGCGCTCCTGGGCCCGTATGATGAAGGCAAAAGACATCAGGTTCTTCCACAGCCTCTCATGGTTGGTCTGCAGGATGGTGTCAGTCAGCAGAGGCATGAAGGCCCGGTTCACGCTGGAGTAGATCCGCAGGAGTTCGAAGACGCTGGTGTTTTTCTGTCTGCTCTGGGACCGCAAGTCGTTCAAGAACGCCAGAAACTGGGCGCTGGATGTGAAGCGCGTCTCTTCAGGCCAGTAAGGGAGGTTGCGCACCGCCACGTCGGTGTCGGCGTAGCTGGAGTCCAAGCTCACCCGGCTGATGTCGTCGTAGCGGGTGAAGAGCGTGGCAAGCGACTGCTCGATCTCGATGGCGTGCATGATGGAGCCCAGGGCCACCGACTGCTTGAAGATTAAGTTGAAATCTTGTAGCTCCTGGCGAGCAGTCACGGCCTGTTGGACGTTGACAGCTGTCAACGCGAAGAGACAGACGGCTGGCATGAGGGGGAAGAGAAGCATCTTGAGCATCTGTAGGCGCTTGCCCCAGGGGGAGACAGGACTCAGGTTGCAGCGGCCCACACCGATCTGGTTAGAGATCTGGAAGGACGAGTGGCTATTGGGGGAGTTTTGGCTCCGGGAGATATCCATACCGGATCCACACAGAACGAGTACCAAATATCGGGAAGTAAAACAACTTCACCTCCCGGCCGATCTGCTTGTGTATCTGGGAACACTAAAGCCAATTTACCGACGCCTCGGCGAACTTAAATCTCAGTGAGTAAATCAATACCTGTGGGGAAAATCGGAAATGGTTGAAAACTTTTGGACCCATGCTCTTTGGGGCAAGCAAGGGTGGAAGTAGCTTACCCGAGGTCATAAACTAGTGCCGGCAGCTGAATTCGAACCCCCGACCCTCTGGTCAGCAGTCACAAACGTTAACCACTTGGCCACCTGCATCCGTCCCAAGTTCAGACAAAACGTCGAACTGTGTATCTGTAACTAATTATAGCCTTTACTTGAGGTACGCCAACGAGGCCTTTCCCTATTTGTGGGCCCAAACCACCTGTCCTTTGTAATTGGCAAACCTGTGTCCCTGAAAAGCGTGTTTGTCGTTTTGGTTAATCAAGTGTTCCTCCTCAAATTAATTTTCACACCGCTAGACACCACACTATTCACAAGGATACGGTTTAGAATCAATTTCATCAGAGAGAAAAGTTAAGGTAGGTAATTCAACATCTCTTTAAAAAACATTGACCAAACTTATTGTTCGGGTGAAGTGGGACGTCGGTTTGAATACACAAAGAAGCGCTTTGCAAAGGATGTATTTTCTCCACCATGAAAGTAAACTCGAAAATAGATACACGGTTTGATATTCTCCCCTTTCTCAACATTCCAGTATTTGATTTTACATTGATTGGCCGAATTGTTAATATCTCTCGACTCCCATCTTTACCCTGTCTACTGGATTGGTAATAATAATCACCCTGGCTGGCTACTCACGCGCCAACAAAGAGAAGTTAATATGGGTGATTATTTGTGGGACCGGAACAGACGTGATGAAGAAAAGCAAGAGAAACTCACCAAACTGAATGATCACAGCGCAGTCCGCGACTCGCGAAACGGGATTTCGATTCCTCACACGACGGTAGACTTCGAGCCGTTTTGGTTTGCCGAACTTCGGCGCAAACAACCGGCAATCCCGCGCGGGGCCCGTGCCGACGCCAGTGTCTTCCCAGACAAAGCCAAACTGCGGCTCTTATAGCCCTATCTGTCGCCATGGCGACAAGGCAGGAAGCTCATCACATCAGGACAATCCTCCTGGATTACCAATAGCACAGCAGATACAAATGTGACGTTCTTAAGGGTCCATTAGGCGGCGTTCTCACAGCTGACACGTGTTCCGAACCGATCGAGACACGTGGATACGGGACACTTCCCCCACCCTGTGCTCAGGTGCACCGGGGGACTCATTATAAGACACTGGCTCCCAGCTAAGGTCATTTCAGCCAAAAGGCCATTTTTTCGAGAAAAAAAATTACACAGCACGATAACAGGACTTGCCACAAAGTTCACCACACACGGGCGTAGGTGTGACATAAGAACTTGGACCGTAAGAATACACACACAATAGGCCCTAATCATAATGTGCATGACAGTGCACAGGCCAAAGTCAAGCAACACATAAGAATGAGAAATCTACTGAAAAGGACCCTTCACTCATCTATTCAAAAGGTGCGTGACCTTTGACACGCTCTACTTGACAAATTAAGTCTTCGGCCAAGTGTGCTGGTGATTTTTGGAAGGAAACTTTTGTTGTGAGGAGTGGCAGTCCGACTTAAAAAGGAGCATTAAATGGACATTCCGACAAAGTTTACAGCAGCGTTACGTATAACGTAAAGATACCATCGATGTGCCTGACTCTAAACCAACGCCTTGCAAAGCCGTCAGCGTTGGTCTACCATGTCAAACAGCCAATCAGCATCGGTTCCGCGCGTCACGCGCTGTGATGTACATGCATGACACGTTATGCCGTAAATCTTGAGCTAAAACTACAAAGTCCGACATCCAAAATCTGTAATCTGGCATTCGGGGGAAAATCCACTTCAAACTTTCATTACAAGAGACAGGTATGTTATTTCTAACAATCCAATTGTGTATGCTGTAGAATGGAATGATGATGACCCTATGTTTTTTCAACCGGGTATACAGCAACCTTGCTCAATACACAAAGCTAATTATCTCCCCCATTAAGATTTTCCAGAAATAATTTCCCGAAAGACCACCTGGGCGAATAGTTCTCATTAGCCATTCATTAGCTACACGAGGGTGAATAAGGAAAAAAATGAAGACAAGGTCGGACAGTTGAGTGGTACGGATTATAAACAGACTCTCGGCCAATCTCTTTTGAAAAACATAATGACCCTGGAATTTTCTCAGATAGGCAAGTTGGTCACTCTTGTCTTCTTAGTGTGTATCCTGGCCTTGTCAATTGCTACCATCTAAGTTGTATCTTGTTGCTACCAACTACATGTGTTATCTGTTTAAAAGACGGGGATAAACATAATATTTCTGACTATTTGAACAAGTTGTGGCTATGTGAAACTTAACGCAATTTTCAGGGGTTTTGGCAGAGCAATGTTATCATGATAGTGTATGTTGATTTGTTGTATTTTTGGTGGCTTTTACAATTTTTGGATGGATTTTTTTTAATGTGCTTATACTCAGATTAATTTTTCTCACCAACTGGGACTGCAATGAAAAATAGTTACTATAACTTTTTTTGCGATATCCCTACTATTTCCACTTATTGGGAATCGTTGAGTTTGCTTTTCTTTAATTTATTTTTTTGTGAGGATATTTTGTGCAAATAGTGAGTAAATCAAAAACAAAAAAAATCAAATCAAATTAGTGACAAAGGCCCCTGACGAAAATGGCGAAGATGCCACGATCCTATTTATTCTATTCTACAATTCTATTTTTATTATATTATTTTCTATTATTATGGTCAAAATTCTTCGGCGAAATAGAGGCTTTTAAAACCTGTTTGAAAACAGTTAAAAACTCATTATCGATAGACCAAAAGGTCTTCAATAAACTTGATTTTGAGGCTGCATCACTGGATTTCATTTTCTCTACTGCGTTATTCTACTGGTCCAAACTGGACCAAGAGAGGTCCTAGCAACGCAGGCTCCTTTGGTAGTAACTGCGCATCGCTGGTTCACGAACGACTATGAAACGCAAGCGTTGCAGTCGCACTCCCTCCCGGTATGGCTATTTTCAACCGATGAGGGGGTGCTTCTGCTCAAGGCAGATAGCAGGGAAGCAAACTCAAAACGAACCCCCAACTGAAATAAACACCGTTGTTGCAAAATCAGTGAAATTGAAGTCAGTCTTTCATTCAGCAAGTTTTAATTCAAAATTTACCCAGAGAAAATGTAATTTAAAAATATAGTTCCGCACGTGATCTAACATATCGATGTTCACACCCAAGGTCTTTTATATCTAATTTACATAAAAATGTATCTACACGTATACTAATGTTACAAATGCTATAAATCACTAAATATTCTTCAAAAGAACCCTACCTTCATATCAGTAAGCATGACACTATTGATGACAGCCAAAATAGCCAGTCGAGCCCCCAAAACACTATAAAGTTAACTGCATCAAACATACCCAGTTAGTTTTGATTTCTTCTGGTAGAGATGAAAAACATTTTCGATCTTCTGCCCTATCACAAAATATTTTCGCATTTAAATTCTGAAATAAAAAATATGAATGCGGCCGCAGCTTTCCTGAAAGGTTTAACATAAAATCGACGCTGGTGGTCCTGTCGGAATCGTGCGGGTTTTTTTTTTTTAAGCCGCGGCTTTTAAAACGCGTTTTTAACGCTGGGAATCATGTCTGGCTCCTTGCGAAGTTGTTTCGTTGGCTGGCGTTTTATAGAGGATTTTATACCGCTTTTGTGGACTTGGCCACGAACACTCTCATCGCGCCATGGAGACTTAAGAGCTAAAGCTTAGAGCAGAAATGATGATTACCCACTTCCAGCAATTTTACCGTAAGGAAACGAATTAATTAACAGAACTCTGATGACAATACGGCACACAGTCGGCAGATGTTTCGCATCAAAATTTAGTTGTGAATACAAATTTGTTGCTAGAACAGAGTACATGTGAACATCTACGTCCGAGTCAACGACTCCTTACCATCGTCTGTGCTGTTTTGCGAAAACGAAGCTTCAACATTAAAAGAGTCATTAACTATTCTTTCCCCAGAACACTGTGAACCTAATGAGGTTCTTCAAAGACAGACTGCGACGTCCCACGGAACCGATTTGTTATGCACTACAAAAGGGACAGTGCTCAGATCACAAAAATTTCAATTTGGACATCTTAATGAGAGATCTCATTCTACGTACCCTCAGATCCCCGCCCCCCCCCCGTGGACAAGTGTGTAGTCATCAAAAGACGCAAGGTACACGTTTTTTAAACAGTCGATGCAGCGAACTCTAGGGCGCCGTATTTCTTATTCTAACAAAACAAAAACTTGTCTGTGTAATGTCTTACATAACAAATGCAGATAAATATGCATGTATATGACCGACAAGAGACAATGCGAAACGAAATGCTCCGCATAAGACTGGGTTCCCACAGAAATCTGAAAACCAAATGTCAGGAATTTTCTAGGACTAAAATGTGACCATTTCCATGACATTCATCGACACATTTATTAGGAGATGAAACACTGGCATAGTCACTACTAAAAACTGAGGAGAGCCCGTAAATTTATCGTTATTCCATTACCACATCATTAGCGGCCCATTAAAAAATAACCCTTACATGATCTTAACCTGTGCCTTTTCCCGAGAGGTTTCCAACGGCTTTTCCCCCGACAAAAGGATTAATAATGACGAAAACAGTAATAATAACAACTGTTTTTTAAACAGCACCTTTGACTAAGATCAAAGCGTCCTCTATTTTGTCAAGGACGTTCTATTTTCCCCCAAATTTTTTCATGACTTTTCGGGCACAACCTTTTTCCCGGGTTCTTCGGGACTTTCCATGACTGAGAGAGCCCTGCACGGGTTATGGCTCTGGCTATTCAATGGCAACGCGTGCATTAATGCGGCGGCAGGCAATTCCTACAGACGTATGCTTTAGCCACAGCCATAGCTGTGATCAGCATCTTTTGACCATGTGGTTACCACAACTCACCACGTGACCATATTCTCTGCCTTTGGGTTTATATGGAGAAAATTCAGTGAATACTTTGACGAAGACGCTCACAGAATCCGCTCCTGCGCAACAACAGAGGGTACTCACCGCATACGCGCGCGTTCTCGCGTTTGACGCGGAGCACGCTGAGTACTCGTAACGAATATAATTTCTTCATGTCAAAGATATCTTCTGATATAGGTCTATGCTTAATGTATGGTCTGTGCGTACATGCAGAACGCGTGCAAGAACCCGCTTGGAAAACTTACTACCATTTATCTCTCTTTTTGCCACTAAGGGGTGCACTTCCAACTCGGGGCGGATACTCAACCCACAAAGCTTTCAGCCCAGCTAAAAAGAAATTAATTTCGATAATGAAATTACCACGTTTCAATCGAGCAAAAGCGAAATAACATAAATACATCCTTCTGTTGTAATTATGTACAGACTTGTCTTAAATTATAAAATGATTTGGCGACCTGACACAGATTACTAAGCTAAATGGGCTTTATCAGTACACCAATAAGTAGATCAATGGCAGCTCCCTTTAAATATCTAGCTACTGGAATGAAAGACTTTACAAATCGATATTGTAGTAACCTGACTAGTGGTCTGTAAAGAATTCATCACAAAGTGAGCTAACTTTCACCGCGTGGCGCTACACACCATCGGTGGCTACATTTTGAAATGTTTAAAGCCCCTATTTGTATGTAAGCACAAGCCAATGATTTTCAGGAGTGCATTCAGCAGAGTTGTTGACTCGAGTCATTGACTTGGACTCGAGTCAATTGACTTGGACTCAAGTCGCTATTTTTGTGACTCGTGACTTGACTTGTATAACTAACAGTTTTTTAACTTGTGACTTGACTTGGACTTGCGAAAAAATGACTTGTACTCAATCGAACCCATTGAAGTTTTAAATTAAACTATGATCAACTTACGCCCTGCGTTCTTAAAATAATCTTAAAATCTTTCGGCTCGCGACTTCTACTTTGGCCTTGTCTGCCCATGACCACGTCTGAATCACTTGACTGTGGCATGCAATCACACATCGCGCGACTTGACTTGTGCTTGGACAAAAAGTCTTGTGACTTGCTTGTGTTTGGACCAAATTGACTTGTGACTTGACATGGCCTGTGACCAAATGACTTGTGACTTGACATGACCTGTGACCAAATGACTTGTGACTTGACCTGTGACTGTATCAAATGACTTGAGCTCGGCATAGACTAGCAAATATTCCTTCACGTGACTTCCTGACTTCACGAGACCACGCCTGCGTACACGTGTGCGGGGTTGGCCTATTAACCTACTGCCGTCGGTGAGTTGGCCACACCCTTAAGACAACCCTAAGGAAGTTTGCACATGAGTTTTTGTTTGTCTTAGATTTTGCCGCGTCCAGCGTCCATCTGCGTATCATGCATAAATTGGACAATATTTTAGAAACTGCGCTGGAGCGATTCAACCACGACAGGTCAATTAGCCGATGGGTGCTCGGTATTGGCGAAGTGCACACGCTTGTACACCTGTTCAATGAGGCAAACAAAATGATAACGAACCCGACAAGAATTTTCCACACTCCTCCTTCAGTATTCGCACCAAAAATTAAAGAAAGAAAAACTAAACCTTTTTTAAAGTATGCATTGTAAAGGCTCCAAGTCTCAAAAAACATGTATATGTCTACAGCAAGAATGCCGTTTGAAAGGCCAAACGGCGAGTTCTAAATCTTACTCTACATTAACCCTTGCTCTTCAGCAACCTCCAAAAATTTGAACAATCCACATCATTTTAAAAAATTGGAAAACATTTCGTCGTGCATGTGTGCAATTTGCATTAATTTACAAATCTTACATGCATTATTCTTTCTTTGAAAATGACACCTGTGCCATGCACCATGAGGTAAAAAATAAATACATTTTCAAAAATATCTTTTAGTAGAAAAATGTCTGCAGTGATTGCGCGGAAAGATTGACAACTTGTTAAATTAAATTAATATTAATCTTTAAAGCAAATGACACTTATTTTTAAGTTTTAGAGGAACAACCAGTTTCAGCTCAGTTTGTTCCGGTTTACATTAGAAAGCACTGAGCTCTTTGTTTGGATGTATGACTCAGTTTGGTGTACTGATGAAAACGGGTATTACACTTTACACGGCGCTAGCTTATTTCAGAGGTTTCTAACTCAAAACTGGTTCTGGTTACTTGCGGTTTCTGTTTTTCTAGGTTGGGTGACTAATAAAGATATGAAATTCAGTGCATAGAGAGAAACCCAAACCTAGCGTCAGGAAACGTGGAACTGGACTTGGTCAAATTTTTCGGCCGACAGGGGCGTTCCAGTCATCGTCTCGCCCACGGGCGGCCAGCCAGGATCATCTTGGATCTCTCGCTCCACCAATTTGAAGACATTCTTGGGTCTGCGCTTGCAGCGGACACGGCTGATGCAGCCGTGAAGCAGCTGGCTGTCCACGACAAACGTCTGCCAAGAAATCAGCCAACAAAAGTCCCCACTTGGCAATGACTCAAGGTTTTACCCTGAGATACCCCCCCAAAACCAAGCAAAACCTTGTAAACCTCAAGGTAAACCTCTGCATGGTTAATTTCTCATTTTCGTTTTTTTTCAGTGAAACTTCCATTTTGGGCCTAAACACTTCCGGTAAAAGATTTTAAACAGATTGCAAACAATGTAAAATAAAAAAAACTTTGTATGTTCATGCACGTTTTAAGCGAGTATTTCTGGACAGAGACATGTCTAGTTGTGTCTGAATTGAGGAGTTATTTTGTACCAACTGGGACTGCATCTTAACCAAAGTCAAACATAACACACGCACTGTACCAAGACTGAGTGCTGCAAGCCTACCACATGCACTCTGCCCTGTGAAACTGGAAGCTGCAGGGGGGGGGAACTTACAAAAACAAAGACTCACCTCCAGGAGAAAGGAGACGACAAAGTTGAGGAGGACCAGACCGAAGAGGAAGAAGACGTAGGGCAGGTGCTCCTTGGACATAAGCTTGAGCTGCATGACCTCGATGAGGAACCAGTGTAAGACGCCACCGGGCGCGACCGGCAGGAAGAGCATCAGGGTGCTTAGTAACACCAAGATGATGAGATCCAGCGTGAAGAGGACTGTACGAGTGGAGAGACAATGATGGCGTCAATGCCCAGGATACCGCTCATTAACGGAAATATGCAGTGGCGAGTTTCAATTTCAAGTTGAATGCTGCTTTGGAGACCTTGTTCTTGAGTGATTTGATGTTACATTTTTTAAAGCACAAACATCTTTTATTTCGTCCAAATTGTCACCAGGCAAATTGTATAAAATATATGTTGCATAGAACATGGAATAGAATAGCCTACGTACATGGGTGTAAATACAGGGGCGGGATGGGGAATATATCCTCCTACTTTTTTGTGGAGAGTAAAAAATTAAAGCTGACTGTGAAGAATTGTTCAGACTTCCGACTAAACTGCATTCACTATCACTCAAACAGCAAAAACAATTCTTAAAAGCCACAAATATGCCATACTGAATACATATCACAGATTTTCATCAATATTACAAACATCCACCTCTACATTGAGTCAGATGGTGTTCCCCCTTTTCAAATTTTCATGGCTAGGCAAGTCATCCACCAACGGGTCCCCATCCCCCCCCTCCCATTTCCCAGCACAAATTTATTCCACTGCCTGCGTATCAGGATTATTTTTATATTCACTGATCTCCCCTCCATAGGAAGGATCAAAGACATGCCATGATCAGAAACACACTGGGAGTGGCACGTACCATTCTTATAAATAGGGGTCCTGTAGGGGGCCCCTTTGGAGAAGGCCCCAGCGAGAATCATGTACTGGAAGGAAGAGACGGTGAAGACGACAGTGTTCTCATAAGAGAGGATGTTGTCTTCAGCAACTGGGCTTATAACAGTTGGGCTCCACCTGTGTGAAGAAGACAGGGCACTACCCATAAGCCCAAGCTTTGGAAAGTGAAGACTCAATCATAAACCCGGTTGAATTAAATCTGAATTGAATGCTGCAGAATCTAACGGATTTTGGAGAGTCACACAGATAACTTTTCAGTCTAGACTTTTGTCAAAATTGATTACAACTGGAAATGAATTTTTATTATGAAATGAAAACTACACTTTTGGCATATTTCTATTCAAGCAAATTCATACCAAGAAAGTGAACACAAATACAAGATGATGTAATGCAGTGGAAGTTGAATTCCGTTTCAAGGTCAGCTAGTAAACAGTGCAAATGTTCGCTGCGGCATCACATATTTGCACTGGCTATTCTCTTTTGCAATGAAGATGAACAAGCCAAAGGCACACATGCTGCTTGTAATTCACAGCAGGTTCCAAAAAATGGCAAAAATTCAGAACCCGTCGATACCAGGGAACCAAAAGTGAAAGTTGGTGAAGTCTGCTCAACTTTTTAAGGAATTCACATCAAGAGGAATGGTAACGACTTCACAGATGTGCACCGGCATTTTCTTTGATGAACCGGCCTACAGCCTACATGCTGCGGTAAAATCAAAACAGGTTTCACCAAAGGGCAATAACTGGCAACCCACTGGTGAAATATTGCTCCCAACGTGACGTCTAGTGATGGGAGCCTCACATCTCTTACCAGGAGGTGAACCTCAGGGAGAAGTAGGCCACAGTTTGGATGGCGCACACCAGCAGCACCTCGATCAGGATGGATATGAGGAACGGCGGGGACACCAGACTGCCCAGGGGTCGCTTACGGACCAGGGTGGGATGGGGACCATTCAGCCCCACTGCAGAAACAAAAGATAGAAACCAATGTGCTGAGTTGGTAGCAATCCCGAACAAACCTACAAACTCGAGAGCTCATTTTGCTAGTTTACCAAGGTTGCGCACCATGTGCGTCAAGTTGCCCGGCAGGCATCTGTTTGGTTTAATTTTGCCCAGCGACTGTGTCATGATTACCAGGCTTAATAATCACAAGCTAGAATTGGGACAAAAATTTACAGTGGATTACCAAGAGCAAACAAATGTGTTTATTACAATGGTCTGTGGCTTGACGAGAGACTGGGTGACTGGTCAGGACTGGAGGACTAATAACACTTTCTGAGGACTTCAGGAGCTTGCGAGGACTGACAACTTGTGAGGACTTGTGACCTACAAAGACTTGAGAGGATTTGTGAGGACTTTTGAACAGCTCATGAAGACGCATGGCTTGTGAGGCTTGTGAGTCTTAAGACATTCATGGGGTTTGTGAGAAGCTTCAGGATTTGTGAGGACCCGACTACAAATCTGGTTCCCAAACTGATAGACTTACTGAGCGTGGCTACCGAGGTGGTGATGATAAGGTCCACGTACAGGAATTGCCAGTCACCCAAGTTGGAATTGGTCCAGTAGAGTATGATGACAGATGCAAACTGGATGATGCTGTACAGGGCCATGTACTTAAAGACGCCCAGGGACGTGACCAGGGCGGCACGACCCTCACGTATAACCACGGGCACGGCTGAGATGTTGGGGGTCTTGGAGGTGAATGGGGAAGCCACGGACGCCTCGGCCTCGGATAGAGAGATGCCTGCATGAGCTGTCTTGAGGGCGCCACAGTCATTGGCTCCATCCCCACACATCCCAACACAATAACTGACCCACCAGAAACAAAACACAGTCCCAATCAATCAACACATTCAGCTCTGCTTTGTCCACCTTACCAAAAGATAAAAAATGAGCAGATCGTGCCGTACCTGGGCACAGTGCAATCAAACTATAATTTTCTTAACTTCTAGAATTAATTCATGTATCTTGTCCGGAAAAGAACAGGACAAGAAAGGACCTCAAACAAGAAAGAAAACTGTACAGACAATTTTCTCAATATTGTTTATTCCTACACTGATATCTAATCACAAATCCTGTGGCCTTCTGATGTGATGTCTGCATTGAAATCCACAGGACGTAAGACAATCTACTCCTCTTTTCTTATCAACTGAAAACTTTGACCACATCTCCCCAACATGCCAAGCTTATGTTCTCTTTTTTTTTCAAAAAACTATTTTCTAGAATCAAAAGTTAGTTGTGCTGACCTGATGTCCTGCAAGGCTTCTACGAGTTGTGTCTTCTGCTCTGGAGACATACGCGCGAACACGGTCCCTCGCTGAACAATCTGTCAAAGAAACGACGATGGACCAGAGTCAAGTGATTCTCACGTTTCACTGAGTTTGGCACAGGTCTGTGCTCACCTCACAATTACTTGTTGAGCAAAAAAAAGGGTAAATCAGTTGAAATCTCGTGTGATGTGCACTGCAAGTGAGTGGTACTCTGCTGATCTCTGCTTGGCAACTACTCAACCTCTATTCTCATTCACTCAACAACTGGGGGCAGCAGAGCTGTAGCCAAAACTTCTCTATAAACCCCAAACAACTATCACAAGACCATCACAAGACCATCACAAGACTATCACAAGGCCATCACAAACTAACACAAGACCAACACAAGAAGACACAAGACCATCACAAGACGACACAAGACCATCACAAGAATATCACAAGACCATCACAAGACTATCACAGACCCCACAAGACTATCACTGACCCAACAAGTCCATCCTAAGACCCACATAAGACTATCACAAGATTATCACAAGACCATCACAAGACTATCACAGACCCCACAAGACTATCACTGACCCCACAAGTCCATCCTAAGACTCACACAAGACTATCACAAGATTATCACAAGACCATCACAAGATTATCACAAGACCATCAAAAGACCTCCACGAGATCTGAACAAGACAATCACAACATTAAAGATCTCCACAAGACCATCACAGACCCCACAAGACTATCACAAGACCCACAAAAGACTATCACAAGGCCTCCTGTCTGAATTCAAGTCACAAGCTATTCAAATGAACTGCAACACAAGTAACCCTTTGTCATTGTTTACCCTGTTACTTGCAACTGGTCTTATGATGGGTCTCATGAATGGTCTTGTGATGGTCTAATTTAGAACACTAACTGCGGAGGCTGACAGAGGCAGTCAAACTGTTCACAGTTCGACTCTCACCTTGGGCATGAGGTCCGGGAAGTGCTCACGGAGAACAGCAAATGATTTCCCGGTGACAGCAAAGTGGAAATGACCCTCATACACTTTGGCACTGTTGCCATTGTATAACTGCATTTTTGGGGAACAGAAGACAAAATATGCATACTGAGGAAATCTGTGGGTGAGGATTGACACAGAACAAGTTACAGCAACATGTAAGCAAACCTCTGTACTTCTCCAATAAGGACTTTCAAAGGTGCCCAAAATATTACTGTCGATGAAGAACTCTAAATTTTAGAGCACTCGTCATTTAGGATCTAAACATTTCACTCAAACAGGATGTCCCATTGTTGTGAAATTGGTGTCAAAATGTGCGCGAGGTAACGCTCAGAAATCTCATGACGGCTTGGGACAAAGAAGAGACAAGTATGCAAATGATGTTGGGAAAAAATATGGGAACGGGATCTGGTGATGGCTCTTTGAAAATTGGACGATGTAAACCACCATCCACTGCTCGTTGACACTCTCTTTGGAACTTTTTATACATTGTTGCCGGTTTACAAATCCTCTGGCGTGAACTGCTTCTTCTTCTGCTTAGTGCTGCGCAAACACCCTCGGAGGGTTACAAACGCGCAGCCGCACGCACTGGTCAAGCCACACTGAAAACAACCTCCTCAAACCAAAAAGAAAATTTCATGGCTCTTACTGGCACATCTGTGGTAGATGTCTTGCCGCTTTCATCAACAGTTTTCTCTGGAGTGGTGTCGTAACTCCACTCGATGCTGGCTGAGACTTCACCGCTGGGTGGGGACGCATTCACCATAATGACCTTTGCCCTAGGGTCCACCATCCCACAATCCCTTGCAACGCTTATGGCGGTCAGCATATTGTCACCTTTGAAAATGAAAATAAAGTTACCCACTGAAGACATTTATCCTTTCCTGGTCCACAACTGGTCAGATAAAATTTAATTTTCTCCATGGTAGCTGATACTGCAACGTTATTAGCCCATAATTTTTTCATCTTGTACGACAAGATGACTATGGAATGAATATTGGCCACAACATTTGTCAATTTTTGGGGCCTAAAAAGAAATACATTAGTAAAAATAGTAGTTTCTTCCACCTGTGACCATGACAGTGCGTATGTCTGCCTTCATGAGTTCATGGATGATTGGAGTTGTTTCCGGTTTCAATGCATTCTGAAGCACAAGCAGGCCAAGGAAATTCAAGTTGCACTCAACTTCTTTCCTGCAGCAACAAAATAAGAACCAGCAGCCGATGTCACAAAACTTTACACCATGGCGAAACTCCACTCATGCCACATTTTACTGCGTAAGTTGCGCAACAAATTAAGACCGATTTCACAAAATTAGGCCACGTCCAAATCACTTGGCTATGGCCAGAATTTGCACACAACTTAATAGGAACTGGCCGTGGCCACTGTCATAGACCCTAGCCAAGTGATTCCGACACGGCCTTATGCACTGTGTAAGTCCATGACTTACCCAACATATTATGGGGTAACTAACGTGGTCATTTTAGGTGGCATGAGTTGCACCAAATGAAGTGAAAATGAACAATTTGACTAGCTAATCATGTTCAGTTAAAACTCATCATTGCTGAACTTAGCAAGGCTTAAACGAACAAACGAACAACTTTGTTGCAGAAGGAATAAGAAACTTGTTTGGCTGTAAGAAAATTGCAAGATTTGTTGTCCCGTTCCGATGAAGAAAAGACGAACACTAATTCAAAATGGCGGGCGGAGGTGATTCAAAAACTGTTTGAGGACTGCTGTTATGTTTATTGGAAAGGAACAGCCATCATAAAAGCTGTTTTTGTCCTCGTCCATGAAATTTAATGTTATTGAAACATAGTGCAGCCACACAACTTTTCGAGAAGTTGAACTTAAGAATGTTGCGCAGCTATGGCATGAATTTGTGGTGCAAGGTAAACGCATGGTTCAAAGTTATGCCGCGTTTCCTGAAATCGGCTGCAGATATGGGAACATTCAGATGAAAAAAGTAACACAATCTGAAAAGCCTTGTGTAGTGAAATAAATTTGTTGGCACTCGGTGTTAAACCCCCACAATCCTTTGCAGACCATTATCGTTTATTCCAACCATACACAAATTAAGCATTCTGTGGCTTTTAGTTTTTGATAGTGGCAACAGCAAAGGTCACAGACATGACTGTGTCAAATATGGCATAACATCAAAGGTGGCAAATGGATGATGTCTGGGGTGAATATGTGACTTTGGAGGAGAGTGTTCAGTGATAGACGAAAACAACCAACCTTGCAATGCGTTGAGAGTGATGCCAAGACAACTTGGGGTCAAGGGGTCGCCAAGCAAGGGCAATCACACGGTATCCCTGCTGGGTGAATCGCTGAAGAACTTCCAAGAAATCAATGGGCACTGTGAAGGTAATGCAGAACAGTATTTTGGGTTTAAAAAAATCCTCAAAAATAATGCGTACAACCGACAGTCCCACTAAAAAGGGAAGGGACTGAAACCAGTTAAAATCTGATCATTCACAGATCAAATCAGACATCAAATCACGGGTCAAATCAGAGGTCAAATCAGACATCAAATCACAGGTCAAATATCTCAACCAAATAACATATCAAACCACAGGTCAAACTCACAATCAAATCACAGGTCAAATCAAAGGTCACTTTACAGGTCAAACCCTACTTTAATCATATGTCAAATCCACAATCTAATGACGAGTCAACCACAATATCAATCACAAGTTAGAGGGCGTAGAGGTTTCGGAAAGAAATGTAAAACATAGATGAACGGTACACTGGGGCTTTAGAAGGAAAACTGGAATTGAAAAGCTGGGAAAATTACGATAAACTTTTACATGATGAGCATTTTAGAGAATGTGCACAATTCAAGGACCAGTTGAAATCACCTGTTTCTTTGACGGACAGCGATGCGATCATTTCCGGGGAGCCCTTGACAAAGACCTCCATGTTTTTGGCTCCCAAGGTGCGGGTGATGACGCTCATGCGCTGGAGACCTGAGGAGAAAGGGAACTGCCGGAGGATGCCAACCTCGTAAGGGACCTGGTAGACAAGGAAATGAACTGTCAGACGGGATAGCAAGGGAGTAGGAAACGGGTTGTGGAGGGGGTCTTGGCAAGGGTGCGGAGAGGGTGTGATGGGGCTATGTTTAGGATAACTTAGAATATGTTTTAAGCCACATTAAAAAAAAAGAAAATTGAGATTTGGAACCAAAAATAACCTGGCACCATCCCAATTAACAGATTACACTGAACATGGTAGGTTCAGGGAACAAGATAAAAGTGTCTTTCCTGTGAATGGTCTGCTTTTTACCTTGTCTGGGTTTTCTGCCAGGTACGTGTCGCTGGTTCTTGGCTTGACGATAGTTGGGATGATGGTGTCGAACCGCGTTGTGTCGCTTCCTGGCTCTTCCAAATTCTGCAACAGAAAGGAAAGCATCGGTTAAAATCTTAAACTCTGTAAATAAAGGAATGGAGACTTTGTGGTGTCCCACTGTACTGCAATCATGAACGAGGGGAGTACTTCTCCATTGAAACAAGTCTCAAAACTACCACAAAGAAAGAAACACAAAATCTAAAAGCACTGGATCGTAAGCAACAGATGTGGACGAAGAAAATGAAAGACGGTACCCAGTTGGTCCCCTCGAACATCTTCAAGTCCAGCGGGTCGCCAACCAACTCCCCATCGATCATCGTCAGGGAGTGGCAGGTTGCCATGGCGACCAGGAAGGGCCCAGGCGCTAGGTCGACCGCATTCTGCACCACGGGGAGGAAATGTTGATCCTGCAGGGGCAGGACTCCCCACAGATCCAGGCCGTCTTCGGTCAGGGTACCAGTCTGTAAAGGGAAACCAGCCAAAATCACTTCACATCAAGGGCACTTGATCAAAAAACAAATTCAGAGAAGTCATCCCTACACTTACAACACTTCTGTACCCTTTGGTGAGTACAAAGATTATAAACAAAAAATGCATTAACCAACTGCAGGCAAACTATGTCTGAGCGTGGAACTGCTTAAGTAACAGAATCAATTTCTCGTTGCCAAATTAGTCTACAAACTAATCTAGGAACCCAGATGAAGGGCTCCAACTGTAGTTCAACCACTTTCACTTGCTCTTTGACAATACCTGTGTGCAATAAAATCACATCAAATGATCCTTGGACCATTTGGTAAAATTTAGTCGTCACCGCCTCTCTTGCTGCATTTATGGTTAACGGTGTTTTGTGCAATTATTGTCAAGTCATTATTTCCCTCTGTACCGATAAATGAGATCGGCTATTGACAAACCAGCACTGCAATTACACTCCAGGGCCAGGCTCTAAATGGTCGACTAGATAGTGCAAACTATCCACCGTTTGGGCAACGTTGGTTCAACTATGAAAGGTTAACTATAGTGATTATAAAAATTTGCCCCAAGAAGATATCGTTATTGCGGAGGTCTTGCGCGCAGCTTCTCTATGTGAGGCCCATGCGCATTTCGGCATATCACAGCATCATATGTTCAACAAGCTCTGATAAGCAAGTAATTTCCATTTGCTTATACACATTATAGAGTACCGACACATTGCGTTACATGAACGGGGAAGTGTAGTGTCAACGAATGGAGTAGGCATGTGTGTTTGCTCATGTGCTAGTTCTCGCTCCACATTGGTAATTTTGAGCGTGATGCATTCACCTCAGTATTCTATGCAATCGCCATTTTTCTTGGCATACGATTTATGCTTCCGTTTGTAGGACGTGAGCGAAGTTGGCATTCCCACCTTATCGAAGCAGATCAACTTCAGCTTGCCGCAGATGTTGATCCGCTGAGGGCTGATGCAGAAGATGCCGTTTTTCTTGAGGCGATTCTGGGCGTAGACCGTGCCCACCGTCATGGCAGCCGGCAGGGCTGGGGGAACGCAGATGGTGATGATGTCTAGGACCTTCCAGACCGAGTCCATCGTGTCGGCCTGGGGGAACAGGAGGGTAATTATATTGAGTTAAAAAGGTGAGTTCACTTCTCGGAATCATCTGGACATATTCAGTTGATCCACTACACTTTACATCACATCTGCCACAATCCTTTGAGGTACGCCATCTTTGAGGTCAGGAGATGAGAATTTGAATGCTCTGTGGCTATGGTTTAATAATTTTTTTTGCATTAGCACATCATGGCCAATAGCTGTAAGCCATAACCTTTACGACAAAGACTGCCATCAAAGATGGTGGATCAACGAGGATTACAAGAAATTTGTGATAGTACGGGACACTGCATGTGGGACTTAACATCTCTTAAAAGTTGTGCAGAGAATGTGCCATTGATTTCCTCCTGAGTGGAAGGCTAGGGGGCATTACCTGTCTGTAGATAAGAATTACGATGCTGTAAATCATTCCAAGAAGGCCTGAGTTGAAAAGTCAAGAAGACAAGAAAAAGTTACTGCATTCATATGCACTCAAAGCTGAAAAGTTAGCAGTCAATTATATTTAATTTTTGAAATCGTGCCAAGTTCTACAGCTGCCCAAAATGAAGCTGTTTTCCTCCAAAGGTTACACGTCGAAGGACAGAATGTGCGTTACAATTACCAGAGCTACTTCATGAAAAAATAATAAAAAGGACCCAGACCTTGAACCTAGGAGAAAAGAGTGTTTCTGCTGATTGGAGTACCCTGTGACAGTTAGCCTTTTGCAAATTAAATTTGAATAAAATCCGGTACACCGAGTTATCTGTTTGCACATAAACGTTACAACTTGAATTCCCCAGACTAAAGACACTGTTGCTTTTACATCGTGATTTGGGGCAAGCTTTCATATAATGACCACTATCTCTGGAATGGACTGGTTCCCTTGTGCCTCTCTTATCCATTGGGAAGAGTGTATTGGTGCAAGGCGTCTCTTATGTAACTAAGCAAAAGCTTGCCCCGAATCATGAGGTATAGCAACAGTGTCTTTAGTATTAAGAAATCAAACTGTTATGTTCACGTAAAATTTAACTCGCAAAAAGCTTATTGTTGCAAAACTTGAGTTGCTGCTTTACAAAAACAATGGTTTCTTACCTATTATGGACAGGATGCCGACGAACTTAAGGGCATCCCGATAGAATTTGAAGCCCACAGGTTTGGGGAAGAGAATGGTACGAATCAGGTCACCTTTCAGTGTTTGAAAACCTTTCAAACAAGAGAGGAAAAAACAAACAAGGTAATAGAAATACTGATTTAAATATACCTACACTTCCCTGAGCATTTCTGCCTGAAACTTTCCTGAATCCTCAAAAGTGTTCTGTAGGAGACCAATGGCACATTCTTTGTACTTCAACTTCCACGAGAAATCAAGCTCCTTGTACAATAACAGTGGCTGGGCTCTACTTTTCTCAATCCTGCAAAATCCTCCAACAACCTCCTGGAGGTGGTTAAAGGTCCATGGAGAGTTGAAGTACTAAATTTAGGTGCTAACTTTAAGTATTAAATAAAAAGTGTTTAAGTTTAAGTACTAATCTAAAGTACTAAGTCTGGAGTTTGCATTTCAGTTTGATGCACACCCAGGAAAGATATAGGTGAGGTATTAGCCTCCTGAACTTCTGCAGGTTTTGAAAGATTTTTGAAGTATTCACAGAATTAAGGAAGACAGAGTCAAGCCAGTATGACTTTAGAAGGGTCTTCATACCTCTTGAAAATTTCCGTACAAAGAATGCACCCTGTGCAGTGCAAGTACAAGCAAAAAACACTTTGGCAGTTGGGAATGATACATACATAGTGACAGTCTTAGTCTTTAGAAGCTGCAACGCCCACCTGTTCTCGCAACCACTGCCTTGACCTTCCCACTGCCGTAGAACCGCGTCTGGATGATTTTAGTGCCGCAGAACAGCGTGTGTCGCTTGTGGGTCTCTGGGGAGTAGTAAAGAACCCCGTCGGCCTCGCTGAACGGTGGGTTGGGAAGTGGGGTCTTTGTCACGGGAACGCTCTCACCTGTTGATGGAGAGAATGCAGGAAAGGGAGCTCATTCCATTATCTGGATGAAATCTTTCATCTGATGGTGTCAAATAGATGAGATATCATTTGTGATTTCAGTAATACATAGTTCTGATCATCAATCCCGGGTTCTACCATCAAACAATGTAAGTTTTTAACCACTCGATAATCTGTTCTGTTTAAGCACCTGAAAATATTTAAATAAGCTTGCTGAAGTGGGATGTGAACCCAAGACCTTCTGCCTACTAGTGCAGTCATCTTAATCACTCAATCAGTGAGATTGCCAGTGTTGATTTTCCCAAATGCAACCTTTTGAGCATACCTGTGAGCATGCTCTCATTCACGATACAGTTGCCGCTGATCAGCACAGCGTCGCAACTCATGACGCAGCCATGCTGGGGAATCAAAATGACATCGCCGGGTACCAGCCACTTGGAATCCATCACCTCACAAGCTGTACATTGACAGAATGACAGAATGTAGAAATCAATAAATCTAATCAATGTCAATCAAATCATATCAATCAAATCATTCAGTCGGTAGTCAGTCAATAAAATCAATCCAAACAATAATAAAACTGAAAAGACTACAAAGGCGTTTTAAAAATGTGACGATTCAAGCTTTTTTTACTTGGCTTTCTCGGGCAAACAAATAGGTCCAAACACACTCTACCTGAGTATAAATTGGTTTATGGCTGATGGAGTCGTTCATGAGGAGCTGTGGCTAGGTTCAAGATATGGCTATGGCTGAATTAACATACATGTATGTTGCAATGGGAAGCCACTGGCTGACAGCTGCAGCCACTTTCCATAGATGTGTGTATAATTGCTCTTTGACTTACTTCCGTCGAGGCGACACACTGTCACAGTTGAGTGGTGGGCCACCATGTCACGCAATGTGACCGATTGCTACAAAATATCAGAGAAAGATTTTGTCCTTTGATCACAACCAATGCATCTGAACGTTACTGGTAGAGTTTGTCAAAGAAATTCTTTAGTGAAATAGAAACAATCCAAGTAACTGAATAATTTTAGGACCTTACCATTACATAACTGGTTTGTGAGAATTTAACATCAAGGACAGTTAAAAAGAATTCAAACAAATGTAAAAAACAAGAAGAGACAATGACAGAGTTTATTAAAATCTAAAACTGTAGAAAAGACATCTATGATTCAGGCATGTTCAATACTTTACCCAGGGCAATGGTCATTACTGTTAATTTAAAATTCCTTTCATGAATTCCCAATTTTCCTGTGCATAGTTACTAAAAGACCTGACGTGACAATTTAATGGAATGGTCGGTCTGCTTTTTTTTTCAAATTGGAGTCAGAACATGCACAAGATATGTCAAAAATTTTATAAAGGCTTGCTAAGAATCACACGATGAGACACAAGTATCTGGCAAAAATGCACCGGCAAGGGTCATGGAGAACCTCCATCTTGGCAAAGAATTTGACCGGCTCACCCTCTTGGTCTCGTAGAGAGAGACACCCAGCGAGATGATGAGAATGATAACGATGCAGATGGCATAGCTGTTGTACTGCTCGGCAAACCAAAGCGCGATGCTGAATATCTCAAACACGTAGAACGGGTTCAAGATCTGGGAGGAAGACAAGACAAGAATGTGACAAGGCGAAAGTGCACCAGGTTGGACATTCTAGGAGGAAAATGAAATAAGGTTTTATGCTTTCTCTCGTCAAAAACAAATTCCACATTGAATATTTTAAAAGCAAAATGATTGTCTCTTGGTAAATTACAAGTTCTAAAGTTGCAGCAATGGGCCAGTTCAATGATCTATACAAACAACCATGGCTATATACAGGGAGTCAGGTTGGCATAGTGGTTCTTTCCTCGCCTTCCACCTCTGCGGTCCGGGGTTCAATTCCCGGCTCAGTCCACGTGTGGATTGGGTTTTCAGTCCCAACCTAATTCTGTGGGTTTTACCCAGAGTATTCCTCCGGGGTTTTCCTCCCACCTCTAAAACTGTAATTGCTTCTGTCTCCTCTCTACAGGTTTCTTCAGGCTTGTGAGCTGCAGTGCCTAAGGGCACTTTGGAGGAATCCTTGGTTTCATTACCAGAAATAAATAACATGCACAAAAGTTAAACAGTCTCAGCTTCAGTACCACAACTGTAATGAAGAAAGGACTGACTTGTTTATGGCATGCACAACAGCGTAAGCATATGAAGTGAAACTACCACTGGCCTTCACCAAGGCGCAGAAGGACATCGAGAGGTTACTAAGTATAGCAAATTACACTCTAGAACAACAAAATTCCGCTTTTTTTAAGAGTATCAGAAGAGTTTGGTTCGTATAAATGAGGGGAACCTCATTTCGTGTATTAATTACTCTCGATGTTGAGCCTGAGAGGGCGCTCTTTCAAACTTGCCTCTTCTCCTCTCCACCGGGAGCGAACGCGGGCTGGCCGAATCAGTTTGGGTTACCATTTCAGCCCAGTGCAGTGGATCACACCACATTTAGATGCAACATTTTACATATAACTGCAGTCCTGCGAGTGTTGTGGTGAGTTGACATACTAATTATGCAAATGTTAACCACTTGCTGCCGGGTATTTTGAAAATGCAGTGCATACATACGGGAGATTTTCAAGATTTTCAGTTTTCAAAATTCTTCAAAAATTCACTATTTCATTTAATGGGCCTTTACACCCACACAAATGACTGTTTAGTGGCTACTCTAAGCTGACAGGCAACCTTCTTTGACTCCTGAGTATTTCAGCCAGGCCTGCCGCCCTGTAAAGAGAGCCCAGAATTGTGAAGTATTGCGTAATTTCCTTTGTCCCCAGTGAATGCGAGTGGCATCTTTTCAAACGCGGCCGGATTAGCATGCAGCGGTGCTCTGTCGCTCATCAATGGGGCCCTGGAGCACTTTTGTCCACGGTGCTAATCCGCGGATGCACTATGCCCAAAACAGTGGTATACTGCTTAAAAACAGTGACGGATTACCTTCCAAAAATGCAGGCCAAAAAAATGATGGCAAAGCCCAGCAGCAGGTCTTTTGTTCCGAATACGGTGTATTGTTACACGGACCAGCTCTTTTGTCCCATTTTGGCCACTCCGGCTCTGCATATAAACGCACGGTGCTCGAAACAGGGTTCCCGGGCAGCAAGTGCTTAAAGTACATGCTAATGTACTCCATCACACATTAAACACACGTGTGATTTTATACTTTGTAAATTCTCTACATTTATTTAATGTCAATGTCAAGAATTGTGTTCCAAAGATACTTTAATAGGGGACATAATCAACAATAAATAAAACAGGATCAAGAGGTCTGTTTCTTCCCTCGTTTATTTCTGGGAGTTCTCTTACTGGAAGGCACACGTCCTCCACCCTGAAGGGGACTAGGCAGCTCCTTCCTCAAGGGACGCTGCCACCTGGCGTTGCCCCAAGCTTCCAAGCTTACATAAATATTACATTGGTTTTCTCACCTCTTGCACAAATAGCACTGGGTAGGATTTCACTTGGACATCGATGAGATTTTGGCCAAACAGCGAACACCTGTGGAGGGAACAAAACGCTGGTATTTTATTCCTTTCGGGACTTAAAGTCGGGGGGAGGGGAATAATTAACCAGGCTATGGGCTAGTCACTTGTTTATTAAAAGTTCATGCAAGGAGTGTACATCCGAGATCTCTTTGGCAAACATTTTTGCGGAATCGATGGAGTACCTTCTGGACTGCTGATTGACCGTCAGCCCAGGAAAGTCACGGTAGAAGGCTGCGTTGGTCCAGCCAACGTCCAGTCCATGCAGAAGCTGAAAGAACTGGTAGTCTCGGTTCCAAAAGAAAGTCAGTTTCTGGAACTCGAAGTAGCGCAGCTTGAGATGAGTGTCCTAAGAGACATGAATTACATGCAGGAGACCATTCACAAAATACTTTCATTTATTCTAATTCCCCGATTCAGTTAGTACACCACTCACATCTCACCTTTTGCAACTCACGTATCATCAAAGCCACTCACATCTCACCTTTTGCAACTCACGTACCATCAAAGCCATTCACATCTCACCTTTTGCAACTCGGGTTTTACCACTGCTCCATTCAGATATCACCTTTTGTTTCTCAGGCCCAATCATAAACCCTACTGCCCCATTTACATCTTGCCATTCTCAGGTACGCGGTACATGTGCTGTCAAAGTCCCACTTTATATCTCACCTTTTAGAACTCACATACCATCAAGCCACTCACATCTCACCTTTGGCTACTCAGAAACCATTACTGCCCTACTCGCCTCTCAAATTTTGTTACTCAGGTTCTACTTGTGTTGCTACCCACTCATGATCACATCTAACCGTTTTTTTCAGGTACTATCATAGTGCAACTCACATTTTGCCTTTTGCTTGTAATACTCATGAGTCATAACTGCACCACTCACATCCACTCACAAGATTCTCACTATCTGCTCCGCAGCAGTGCCAGGGTTCCACACTCAACTATCTCACCTCTCGTTTGCTGGGTACTATCAGCGCCCTCGTGATGTCTATTTCGTTATCATCTTCTTCCTCCTCTTCCTGGTCTTCAGTCTCGGCCTCCTTTACCCGGATGTCATTCACAGAGCCATCTCTGAATCCAGTGTTGATGCTGTATCTCATGACCCTATAAAATGAAAGAGTATTTACTATCGTTAAATATGCTAATTTTCTCAAAATTCCATCAACGCTTGAACTCCGCTGCCAAAAAGCACCGAGGCCCAGACCGTTCTCGTTTTCAAATACATGTACCATGCTCTGCTCCAAGTTTGCAAAAATCCATGCACACACTGTGTTGGTCGCAAAGGAAGGTGGCGTGGGGCCGAGCAGTTAGGGTTTGTGACTCAAGCAAACAGGATCGCAGATTAGAATCCAGCTTTTGGTTATATGCCGTGATCTTGAGTAAGTAACTTTACTCCAACTTCAATGCCTCTCTCCACCCAGGAGTATAAATGGGTACCTGTGAGGGTAGGGATGGCTGTCATATTCCATTTGCTATTTGTGCCAGAAATGGCAGCATCAATCTGTATATTCCCCAGGGAGCTGAGATGCTTATTAGGAATGTTTGTGGCTCAGCAAGAAGGGATAAAAAGCACCCTGTTGACAAACTTGGTGCTATATAAATGTTGCCGTTGTCATTATCTTTATTATTAATGTATTAGTTGGAACACCACTTGTTGCACAGATACATGTACTTCATACACATGTGCTGCATGTACGCAAGAACTACACGTTACAAAATGAAACAGCACAAGCAATCACTAGCAAGTACTAACAATCAAAAAGTTTCAGAGGAACACCCAAGGAACTGACTTTCGCGGAAGAAAAATCTTTCCTAGAGTTTCCACGCAATGAGTGAACAACACTGAGTATAAGGTGGGATTTTTGTCATTAAACGATTTAAAGCAGTCGAGAATGTCTGCAGCTTCTGAAGCAGTCCATGGTGATTTGTCTGCGTGGTAATTCATGCACATGTAAATAGTAGACTTGGACGGACGGCTTTTTGTATATGTCCATTGTATACAAGGGTTTGCCCTTCAAGGAATGGACACAGTGTCAAGGCATCGTTACAGCATATTAAAGGCAGGCAGAGCAATACACAGTAAATAATAACCAATTACTCTACTGCGAACAAATGATGTGTAAGAACTTTATGAGAAATTCACATGCGATGCCATGCAAGCAGATTTTCATCTAGGATTGAAATGTATCTTATCCAAGCAAGCTTAAAAGCTGAGCATTCGCTTTCGGCTACCGAAGTTTTCAATATGTTACCCCTTGGTGAAGTCTGAGGCTATATAAATGCCCAATAATCTGAAAAGAAGGTAACAGATTCATCAGTATGAGAGATTTACCGGCGGTTTGTAAATCTAATGCAAGTCAAAAACTTTGAAATGGGGTACTCAGGGCAGCCAGATAGCTTAATGAGACACCGCATGCAAATGTAATACACATGCAAAATATGAGACATCCACGGAAAATACAACATCAAAAAAGAATCACATTCAACTGTGCCTTTGCGAACACTTTGATACACACTGTGACGTGATGGGACTTGGACATTACAAAAAGCAAATGGATGCAGTGGGAAAACAACACAAAAAACACGGATGGAAAATTGAAACCATATATCCACCTGTCATTTTCTCGGTGTTTTGGGTCAAGCTCTTTCCTGTGTGTCAAACAAGGGACACAGAAAGCTATCAACAAACACTCCAAAATAAAAACATGACAAAAGTCAGGCATGCAACTTTGACTTTGACAAAAAATGACGAGATTCCAATCTTGACAAGACTTTGGTACAGCGTTTTTTCAATGTTCAATGGAATCAGTGTGAAGTGAAAAACGAGGAAATCAGCCGATCCGAGGAAAATTGCATGCCCGAAAAGTATTGATGACACAAATACACAAAAATCAACCAAGGACCATAATAAGAGACAGGATACCAGGAACACAACTGAACAAACATGAGACGTGTGCATGATACCAGCTTCAACTTGTTCGTTTCAAGTCAAGTCCCTCACAGGTCGATCGTGAGTAAGATCACAAAGTTGGGTGTCAAGTTGATTCATAAGTAACCAGATAAAAAAGAAGATAGTTTGATAAAGAACTCCCCTGTCATCGACCATTTTGTCAGCTCTGGACCTGATGTATGACTGGCCAACTTGTGATAACGGGATGGACATGTGAGGACTTGTTCACAACTCTGCCTGGTTCCTGGACTTATGTGCGTTCAAAACACTCATTGTGTCCCCATTTCCTGACTAGATTTGACACTTCACAATTTTCAAAACTTTTTCATCCAAAAAGACCAATAACAATTTACAGGTAAGGTCACTGTCAACAATGAATTTTTGAACTAGATGTTAAGGAAAGCACTCATGGGAGTTTGGTCCTGCACTGTTAACCATGGCAGCCATCTTTGAAGGCCGTTTATCATTTCAATGAATGAACAACAGGTATACTTTTGCCTATCCGTGTAGCACAAATGTACTGCCCCTCAACATGGTTGCTACTGTATGAGCCTGATTCACTGTGTACTGGGACAGGATTTTCACATTAACTGATTTGACACGGAAATCTGCCATTACCTCTCAGGATATATCTGTTTGATCAATCCTTCTTCAATGGGCCGGATGCGAATTTTCTCCACAAAGTACTGGCCATATTCGTCCTGGAAAGTGGCAAATAAATGGAAAAGATGAATGACAAATGTGGGTAGAAGATGACACAAACTGACGAGATCAGGCAATGGCTGGGCCAAGGGCCTGTCCATCTCACATAGATCTGGATCGCGATCAGTGATCCGTTATTAGTTCCCACCTAATGGATGGAGCCGCGTTGGGTACACGGATTGAGTGTGAAACAACCCCCCCCAAAGACAAGAAGGAATTTGTAGGGAGAGGAAGATTCAGTGACAGTTTAATGAACATTTGAGTCAGGACGCCAAACTCAGTGGCTTGGTTAAAGAGTTCAGTTAGCCCTTCCAAATTCTAACTGAAACAAAATTTATACAAAACAAAAAGAACCTGGTGGGATCTGGCCACAACTTGTTCCTTCTATTGTAAACTAAACTCCAATTACTGCAGAAATGGGTTTCAGTAGGATTCAGAGATATGAATTTTCCAAGATACTTTCTCTGCTTGTTAAGCAGCTTAGGTCTCAGATCGGCTCGACCTCTGACCTTGAGTAGGACCATCTCAGCATCCCGGAGCGGACATGGGGAATGGGTACACCACAGGCCCCACTCGGGCTTCCAGTAGAAGACCAGGTGCACCATGCCCAGTGTGAGGACGGTCAGGAAGGCCACCAGGACCCACTTGGGAATGCTGGACCGGTAGCCGTAGCATTCCTAGAGCGAGAAGACGAGTTGGGAAAAAAGGAATTTTAAATTTGGAGCCGGATACTATGTCAAAACAGATGCCTGCATTTCAAGTGAGGATGACTTTTAAGTTAGAAACCAAGGATGTTATGGTGTGCAGCTGATAGGGGTCAGCGAGAACCAGTAACAGTTTTAGATGTGGGAGAAAAATTCCCGGGGAATATTCTGGGCAAAACCCACGAAATCAAGTAGGGACTGAAAACTCAATCCACCTGTGAACTGCACTAAAACTCGAACCAAGGCCACAACCTATCAAATCAAATACACACTGTAGATGTACCAGTAGGTTTGTGTTTCATGATTATGATAGAACTTCCTGATCTGAGAATGCAGAAGCAACTTCAATGGGAGCGGCTGGAACACGGATGAACCAGAGCACAATTATTCACCAGCATGTACAAGAAGTGTACTTGTATAAGAAACCAAGAGCATTATCCTCAATACATGTACATGAAGCTCATTTTCCATCAGTATATATTCGAACATATTCATGACGGATTGCCAGACTCTCATTGGTGCATTCACGGACACGATGCCAGCCACTATTTCCGCTGTTTGCCAAGTGCAATTGTGATCGTTCATGCAAGGAGTAAATACTGTATGAATGCGTTTTTTAACCGTCGCCTGGTTTACCCGGCGACAGTGAAAAGCCCAGGCGCTGTAGCAGAAAATCCAGGAACTGTCGCCCAGGTGTACCGATACTGTGCACTCCCAGTGGAGTGTTTGTGTTTCCACCTTAGGAACAACATAAAAGTTCGTGGAAATAAATTCATGATGATGTTTTCATTTTCAGAGGTTATCAAATAAAATATCGGTAAGTATGAGGTACATGTAGAGTAAAACAAATGCGTTTAGCGTTTACTTCGGTTGGACAGTCGGTATTGGGAGTGGGCAATCCGTGAGGGAGCTCCCAATACCGAGGGGAGCTAACATTGACTGTCCAACTTCAAATCATGTATACTACAGTATCATCAATCACTAGACAAGCCAGACAGTCCTCAAGTTGCTACAATGCACTATTGAGCTACCTGTACATGTTTGTGGTAAAATTTTGAAACAAAAACAACCATCTTACTCCCTACTGGTACACATACATGTACATCTGTGGACCTGACTATTCGAGAGCCGAATCTTCGCCCTGACAAGAATTTTCAGAATAAATTCCCCACTCTACATGCATATGTATGTACAACTGCATAGCTTCTTTCAAGACTCAGCTCTCGATACTTTGGACACATACATGTATTCAGATTTGGGCAGAGCCAGTGCCCATGTTTAAGCGCAATGCACACGGTAAACAGCTAGGGAGAGGGTTGGCTGGACCGGTACAGACAAACAGACGCAATCATGTGAAAAACAAATTCACACAGAAATGTACTTGCGCATTTATAATCAAAACAGCAGGCAGGTATAGATTTCTTTTCACCCTACATGCCCCTAGTCACAGACAATTCCCCATAAATTTTAACCTCGGGATGTTATTGCACTTTCAGGGGTGAGTTCCTTCATATAAAGAGGCTACTGTGTATATTAGGAAACATGCACACAGGTGAAGGTGACTCCACTTGGAAAAAAAAGTCAGGCGAGGCATACACTATAGTACTACATTATGGTACATGTACATGCACCCTGTACATGTACGTATGGTCAGGTCAGTGACCTTCAAGTTCAGTGCAAGAAAGTGCATTTGTATAAGGAACTAATGTTGAAAGGCAGATTGAAACTGACACTTGAAAATAGTCAGTTGTATTTGCTGTGTGCTCTGTTTCAGTACTTAATTTGTTCAGTCCTGTAAAAACAGCATCAGTTTTACTCCGTTCCTTCACAGATATACATGTACGGTATTCGTTTTGTAATCTTCACACTGTTTTCTTTCCTTCACAACTGAAGCATACCCACCAAATGGAGGCCCTTCCTGATTAAAATAGGCTATTTTTAGCATCAATTTTGAAGTAATGTGAAACAGGAGGCAGGTGGATTTATCCCGAGGGTCATTTCTATATAATTTGGGGACAAATTTCCTAAAACGTGACATCGAAACATCACCGAAACTGACTTCATATTACATATACATGTATTTCTATTTCTTTTGAAGGTACATGTACATGTGCTGGTACATGTATGTAATTTGCATAACTTAAACTCTTGGAATTTAGAGAATGTGTTCTGAACTTCCAAAATCTCGTCGGATGTGACGGGACAGGAAAGAAATTGGACCCCACATTTACAGACTGACCCCTAACAATTTTCAATACTTAAACTTCAATTTACTGTACACTGCCCAGGTTTGGGGGGCTGGGGATAATGGAATGTTTTACCACAGTAAAGAAACGTTAACTCGATGCATGTTCAGTATATACCAGTATGCAGATGGGAATCATAAAGGCATAACCAAATAAAAGGTAACTATTGATTGTGTGACAGTGCCCAGACACGATGTGCCCTTTCCATGACTGATGTGTCTTGGCTGTTGGTTCTTGCTGAACCATCTGTTGTCGTTTGTTGGTCAAGTTGGGACCAGATGCCGATATTTAAGTCCATAATGACGGTATCATTCTCGTTGTGTTGACAGAAGCTGGGTTGGTCTTCCACATCATTGTGTATGCAATCATGAAATAAAGTGGTTGTATAGGGCTGTGCCGAACATTCCATCGATTGTCGAATATTTGAATATTATTTTTCGAATTTGAATATTTGAAATTTGAATAGTTGAAGGCAAAATTCATGATAAGTAAGGGAAAATTTCTTTTGTTTTAAATGAGAAACATTGCACTGCGGAGGCTTGCTCCAAGCAGATTCAAATGAAAAGCGTCAGAAATCTTACAACGGTTTAAAACTAAATTATTTATTATTTAAAAGGAAAAGAAGTATTGTTCATCTCTTAAATCTTGCTAAACCGTGGCTGGCGATACAAGTACTCCTAGATGTGAGAAGCTATTATATTGATTATAATGTACAATTGTGTTCGTTATTACAACTGATTTTGTATATGGTTTGTTCATCAACAATCTGCCGGTCGGTACCACCAAAAATTTGGATATTCGATCAAATTGAAGGTCGAATATTCGAATAGTGAACACGTAACTGGGCAAAACAGAGCAGTGACTCAGAAATAATTATACATACATGTGCATACATGTGTGTAGAAACTGCCAATATCTTATACACGTGTACTTTACATGTACAGTAGTACAGTGTTAACACAAACGCAGGCCTGGGGGATTTTGAAGGATTGGGGAAGGTGCGGGTTTATCAAATAGGCAATGGAATCCAAGTCAATTTTCATATACAAGTGCAGGTTATGGCCTTGTGTTTCCTGTAGTCCATTTTAATTTTTTATCTTTTTCTCCAGTAGCCTAGCCAAAGTTAGATTTCCGCTTGACTGAGAGCCCTACAGCTACCAGACAAGTGAGGGACATTGTGTGGAATACTGAGCCTTATACTGTGCATGGACATACATGTAAAATTGATTGGAATCATGTGAATGCGGCAACAGAGCACGGACATCTGTGTGGCATGAAGTGCAACTCTGTACACTGTGGATAGCTTTGGCCCTTTGCCTGAGAGAACCAGATGCAAGACAGCACAGCCAACACAAAAGTCTCCATGTTGTCATGCTGTATCTTAAATACATGTAGGCCCATGCTGGGAACTACATACATATGTACATTTGTATTTTGTCAATCGAATTTTTCCATGTTGGTGCAAGACAATGAAATCCTACGGAAGAAAAAGCTGAGGACTCATTGCCCATGTACATGATAATGACATGTACTTTAAACTTATCTCAAACAAGAGAACAGAGAGTACATTCCAACTGCTTGAATTCCAGTTATCAAATCCTAAATCACTGTAAAGATTACGTGTTATAAAAATTCCTTCCTATCAATAAAAAACTGCTTCTCTGGAGGTTTGGCTGACAGAGAATTCACCGTGCAACAGAATATTTCAATATTCAACTACATTTAATCAATTATTTGATGTTGTACCTGACAAAGGCAGTGTAGGAAATGAGTCAAGTATTACCTACATGTATGACAAGCCAAAAGCATGAAATAAGTTTGACAGGTGCGTCACCGTTGCGTAAACGGATACTCCAACTTTCAAATCTACGGTGTACATGTACAGATACGAATGGTCCAGTTCAAATATTGCTTGATGTGACTAGGTCTGATACCAAAGACTTGAATTGGTAAAATAAATATTCTGATCACGAAGCAGATATTGCCAAAAAACCACGGATAAGGCAATTAACTCAACAACTCAGACGTGTTGGCTTGGAAACCGTACCATCACTTTTTGCTCAACTGATCAAGTGGAGCGGAACATTTGATGCCAATGTCATTTTGGGGGTTGGTCCTTTCCAGCACAGACTTTGGCCAACTCAATCCCCCACCACTACAAATTATGTGCACAAATATCGCACAGAAAACTGTTAAATACAATGCAAGGTCTTTATTTTCATCCATGTCTCAATCTAATGAACTGACCTACAAAAGGCCCCAAAGAGCTCGTAACAACTGATTGACACACATACCACTTCATCATTGCCCAAGCCAACTTGCATTGTGGACGATGCGCCACGAACGGTGGTTTGGGAGGCGGAGTTTCCAGTATTGGTAGGTGGGTCATCGGAGACCCCTGCGGTGTGGCTTCTGCTAGCTACAATTCGGAAAAAAAAAACACCCGGTCCAGTCAGTCTTCAGCATTAACCTACAAAAGCCCTGGAGTGCCATCCACGCTCTATTTTCAGAAGTGAAGTACATTTTTTTCAAAGTTTTTTGGTGATTTTGGCACATTGTACGCACTTTCAGCAAGGAATCTAATGCACATACTGTTAAAGACAGGTTTCTACTGGGGTTGTGCATAAATTTAACATACAGTTGGCACATGTTTGACGGTAGATCCCAAATGCCGGATACAACAAAATAAAAATTTGAAATTACTATAAGAATTTAAATGAACATAAACTTGGATGCACAAATCTAATGAAATTTACCAGACATCACTTTCAGTTAAGTTGTTATAATAATGGCTAATGTCTCAAGAAAAACAACAGGCTTAAATCACAAGAATAAAAGAAATTGACCATTTTGAAATATGAGAAATCAGGGGCCATCCATTAAAATATACTGTACATGAACGTGAGCACTTGGGCCTAGTAACACTAGCATGGAGGTAGGAAGAGAGCCTATGTACACATGTACATGATGTATGGTGTAGGCCTACACAAAGGCTACAGTACCTACATGACCTAGGTCTACATGTACCTGTTTGGCTCATTGTAGATGTACAAACTCCACAACTCCGCTGCGGGCATGTTACATGTGCAGCCAATTTTCGTAGAATACAACCATTACACTGAATCTGAGGTTACCATCACCGACTTGCTGCTATACATGCATTCATCAAGCTAGCTGGACCGCGGAATGATCAATGACTGATGAGCAACTTCCAAGGCTAGAGCCAGAGTGTCGAAACATCATTCACGGAGAAAAATCTCCCTGAGTGAGGCTGAAGTCGAAAGTCGAACTCGACCCAATCTGCACTGCAGTAACGTCACAAGCATAAGGAAGTGAGAGCTTCACGTCTCGATCCTGGCGACACGCGTGAATGACTTTTAAAGTAGTTTAGGTACTGAATTCTTCCGATTTCACATGAAACGAAAGTCAAGAAGATGTATGTACATGATGTAAAGTTGGGCCTCCTGTCACTTCATTAACTATGTTGACCTTTTCAATCAGCTGAGCTACTGCGCCGCGTCACGATAATGAATTTGGTTTGATCGATCAGCTTCGTCGTACAACTTGCGTCTTTAAGCGCAAGAGAGGCTGCGTACAGCAACTAGATTTGTGCTCATCCTGCACCAGACTAACCACCAATTGGAAATACCGCCCTCTCTTGAATCCCCTTTTGCTCCCACCAACTTATGGTAAGGGTTTGGCAAGTTTTTACCTCATGATTACGAAGGAAACGAAGAGAATCCTGGGGAAAAAAGCAATCTAAAGCGAATGGTTCACCCTAGAGGTTAAAATGAATGTATCTGGTGATAGCTTAAAGAAATAAGCCGTCACAATTCAAATTTGGACATCAAATCTTTCACTGACGTAAACCTTTTCAGACTTACCATTGATTTGTTGAGAATAGGGAATTCAAAATATTTCAATACATCGTCAAGTTTATACAATAATGAAATCTTGGCAGATCATACTGTGCTCTTGAAATGTTGAGCATGTATTTTTTAGGTTTCGAATATTTTAATGGTGTGAAAACCTCTCAGGGGGAAATTTGTTAAACCTGTCGAAACCTCGAATTCATCGGTAGAAGATAATTGTTATGCGGAGGTAAATCTACACAGCAGAGGGCGCCTAAAGATAACCCACAGAGATATAAAGAGATTCGCTCGGCGTCGGCGAGCGCCCAAACAGGGCGCTGGGAAGTGCTGATGGTTTTGCACTGTGATTGGCTACTTTGTACACGACCTCCGATGGCGACGTTATCACTTCCTAGTGTTAGCGAAGCGTTATTTTTAAGTCTTTGCTTAGCCGATGGCAAAAAAGTTAACACAGGCCAAAGTGTCAGCTTATATGATTAAAACATGGCCTTGGTACAATCGTGGTAATTTATCTTTTACTAAGGATCACTGATCACGTGTCTTTTGGCGATATATTTCAAATCATTGATTATCTTGGTCAATTTGAATGAACGAATAAAGTGTAGTGAGAATATTTTCAGCAATGCGGAAGAAAAAGAAAACTATCGAATTGATAACCGCCGCATTGAGCTAGCTCGCGCACCTGGCAGAAATTTACCCACAATGCTCTGCGCGTCGTTGGCTGTGACCCCCTGTGACGTATTTCCTTCACTAAAATCTGTGCTAAGCCATCAGCCCTTCGCAGCGCCCTGGTGGGTGCGCCTTTGTATTTAGGCCAGAAATATGTCCGCCGAGCTCATAAATAACAGTTATACACTCAAAATATTCTATATAAGAGGGTCCTGAGAGCCACTGAAGTGGGAAATTGAAGAAATATGGCACTGAACCTCTGGGCCGGACTCGGGGCTTCCCATTCTGAGAAATTTGGATGCAATCGGGTCCGAAAGTGGTACTATTCAAGCCATTTTGCAGAGGAATGCATTTTCAAAATGGCTACTTTCCCGGGCAGTAAAATTTCCTTCGTTTTAGGGGTGTCTGCTTTGGGTGAGAATTTCTCAAAAAGTTGGTCAACCCACTAAAAATTAAAAGGAAAATGAAGGAGGACATC